GCTCGGCTACGGGCCCACACACTTTACTCAGAGAAGGAGGGATTAGTTGTAGAGGGAGAGGGATATCACATGCGATCATATGCTAAAACCAGTAACAGTGTGAGATTCAGAAAAGAGATTCTTATGAATGCATACCTACTAACAACTGTTAGAAAGAAAAGTGCAGCTCTAGAACAGCTCAACTATTTTCTTAATACAATGTGGTCATTTTAATTTAAGATTCATGCTAGTTGGGATCAAAATGCATATCTGATTTCATAACTTAGCAGTAAAAACCTTTTTGATCTGCAATCTACTGTATGTTTTACCGTTTTAGTGCATGGTTTTAGCTTCAAGTAACACGAATTGTCTCACGTTCTGCATTAATTCTGCAGCCTCAGCTCTCTGCGTGGGCTGTGAGCACATTACCCAGGGCGCAGAGCTCTGGGCCGGCGGGCTGCTCAGCGGTGTTGCTCGGAGGCTCCTCCAGGAGGATCAGGGCCAGGGGGGTTATTTGCCTCAATTACCAAGGGAGCAACGTAAATCCCCTGTTTACAGTGCTGAAAAAACATGATACTAATCTCTTTAAGTAGCCCTTTATCCTGACACATAGCCTGGCATCTCTTATTGAGCTGCAGTCTGCTGTGAGCTGGCGCTCTGGGGTTGCAGGCTGCTGGCTCCTGCGCATACTGTACCCACGTGGGCTAATTGCTTCTCTGAGGACGCCAACCAGCCCTTTACCCTGGGCAGGGCACAGTGCTGGGGCTAATCCCACCGGTGAGCTCCTGAAGGAGGAATAACAGGCACCTGAAACACACGGACCTGCTCTCACTGCGTGACATCTTATACTTTTATTCACTACTGTGATGCTTCGCAAGATTATTCAGAAATTTAAGGACTGTGGAAAAGAAAATGCATCAAGTATAAAGACATTATTGTCCCTGCGGTATACGTTATGTGATTTCAGCCAGTTCACAGTGATCAATCTCTGTCTATACATCGTCATTAAAAATTGAGCTACGCCACCCTGCAGAAAAGATTGTCCTCTTGTTAAAATGTCCAAGACAATTCAAGTAACTTTTAGTAATACTTGATCATATGATCACATCTTTCAGATAACATTTCTTGTTAGGATAATCAGCTTTGACATCTTCATGGTTTAACCCATGGGCTGTTCAGCTATTTTATATTCACAAGTATAGTTATGTATTCAGGATAGTCCAATTACTCACATCTGTCTGAAAATCCATAATAAATTCCAACCAATCTCCAGACTGGAATTAAGGAAGAAATCTCAACAGTTCCTATAAATCTTCAGTCATCACGCAACGTCAACAGTATTACGATTTGCTTAACAGATGTTATCCAAAAAGATGTAAAATAGCATAATTGAGTCAACACAAATTCAATGCAATTCAGTCATTCAGTCTTTCGCTGCTCGAGTTTGTTGTATCATTTACAAGTGTGACAGTGTTTTTCTGCACATCACCAAAATCTCAAATTTTATTTGTTCTTCCAAATAAAAGCTGACAATTGGAATGGAAATTTCAGGTATGTCTGGTAATGTACAAATTTAGAAAGAGACATTTATTCAGCAACTAAATATTGGCTGGAACAGTTTAAAATGCAAGGCGCAGCACAAGATGCTGAGCTGATCCAAATGCCAGTCTATAGATTTGAAAGACTAAAGATCACATCATCATGAAGCAGACAGAAGTGACACTTAGCAAAGTGCCAAGTGATTTATGCCAATGTCCTGCCTGATGATACTATTATAGACAGCACTGTCATTAAGGAGTCCCTACTGACTTTAGCCATCGTTCCTGCTGCACAAATTACAACAGAGGCAAGAGATCGAAAGCTCCCCGCCTTTTGGTTGGAATTCATGCAAGCTGGGGTCAGTGGCGACTCGGCTCACACGGGCTCTGCTGGACCAGGTGGGGGAAGTGCCTTTCCTCTTCAGTCTAGTGCAAATGCTAAAACCCGTCGCCTTATTGTCAACGAGGTTTAGCTCATTTCTTTATATGCGTCATTTGAACCTTTACCTACTATCTCACGTGAAAACGCCAGGGCAATTTTCTCATGTACAATTTGCACACATATTCTATGCGCACTGTGATCGCTGGCCTGCATTTGCACTGTCAGAGACCACACACAAGAGGAAACAGCCTTGTCTCTGCAGCCTATGCCCACAGTGATGAAGCTGAGTCTATTAAACACCTGTGGATGAAGAGGACGGAGCTCAGGATGTACAGTAGATACATGCACAGTTCTAGATTCTGGAGAAATAATGAACTGGTCTGCCAAGCTCAGAAAGCTGCTTAAAAGTTTATGAGACAGCATGCAAAATGACCGGAATTAAACAAAATGTTTCTTAAATGTATAATCTAGCTTTTGGAATATTATTCCCCGTACACTGTCCTCTTTCGGAAAGCAGAATATCTGCAGAAACTTTTTTGGGCGGTTTTTGAGAAGCCAGTGAGCACGTGGAATCTACTAAGAAATGTTTTCTTATTCGGGTTCTAAATGTCATTAAGTCTGTAACATGCTCATGAAGCCACCAAATTTCATTTTTCTACATTCAAATGGTCATGCTAAATAAATGGAAATCAGGGAGGTGCTCTAAAGCCTTAGAGTTCTAGAGTTTCTATGCTGTAAATGTGAGGTTCCATATGGTTTACATGTGGCCAGGAGCACACACCCCAGCTGTGACCTGGGCAGTCTCACGCGGCGCTCGAACTGCACACTCATCCACACTCTTGCATTACAAGGCAAATGCAGTCCACTGGCACACACCTGGCAGATAGAAATGTAAAGGAAAAACAGTCATACTCTTTCTACAGTATATGGATATATGGAAGAGAAACAGTAAATGTATATGAAACAGGAGCACAATGAGAATTTGTTTAGACCAAACATGATTTACACGTGGAGCTATCTTGTGCAAAGCCCCTAAAAAGCAACCATAGAAAAGCCATGCAAACTCCAGCGATCGCTTACATCTACACTTAGAGAATAGGAACTAAAAATAGCCCAATGTTTGTTTGTCATTTTTCTAACTACCAGACCTTCAGGGGTGTCATTTCCACTGTACAGACAAAAGAAATGTCGATCATCGAGAATCTCGTACAGATGTAAAGATTGCACGTTCACGCCAACAAAGGAACAAGCTCAAGGAAAGGATTCAGATTAAATTGCTTTTGACCTGTTGGAAACTACGTTTCTCTTTGCTTTCTTCTTTATATATTAATCTTTGTGTTTTGTGGCAGAGGCAAGCAGGGCATTACCTTCTAGGCTTTTAGGGATTAAAGTACTCAGGTGGTGTTTTTAAAGGGATTAGAGTAAGTTTACAATCTACTTCAAATCCTTCACATGTCATGAAACAATTACTTAAAGACTCGCTGCTCTAAGTCGCTGGGCCTGCTGAGACCTTATTGAAACTGTTTCTGAGGCACTGGCTGCTGCTACGTGTTCAGGGGGCTGCACTCACAGCAGGCCAGCCATGTGTGTCTGTGCTGCTCTCTTCCTTCTGTCAGCTCGCAGGAGCAGGCGACAGGAGAGGGGCTGGGGGAGCGTGGCTGATAGGGATCTCCTGTACTCCAGGCACAAGCTTGCTCACAAGAAACTATTAATAGGTCTTTTAACGTTTATAGCTTTCATTGAGATATAATGGTGCTGTCTTCCCCTTCAAGCTAATGAAAGTTGTCAGTCAGACCATTTGCAGTTTTTTGTAGACTGTTATCTGTTCCTGAGCTTTGAAACACAGCTGAAACTCAGCTCCATTTCCATGAAGATTTGTGCAGGATCAGGAGATGTAGACCTAATTTTCATTAGTTAAAATATTATTTACTTTAAATTTAAGTCATCTGGTGCTACTTTCCACTGATAATAAAATGTTGGATCAGAAATCCAACTTTGCTGCTTGATGGAAGAGGCTGTGGGACTCTCTGTGACTGATGTGTGTCACTGGGACCAGTGCGAGTGACTGGGCTACCGGTACCTCAAGTCTGTTCTAGGCTTCTAGTGCTGTGGGGAAGCCCATTAATATAGTGGTGAACATATGAGCATGGATTTGTACAGGTAGAAATTTTATAATGAACCAAAGCACTTATTTTGCATATACATTTTAGTCTCAACACAAGCAACAGATGTTCCAAGAGGGTCAGTAACATCATGCAGTCTAGAATGACTTGTGTGCAGAAATGCATGGTTTGATGCCCACATTTTTCATGCTATTCCCAGTACACTTTACAAAACATTAAAAAAATGCACTTCCCGATTTTACTAAGCAGCAATATCCTGCTTGAAATGCCCATTGCCTACCCCATGTGTTTATGTTATCCAGTGTTGAAGATTTGTGTATACAACAGGTTCTGTTTTCTAAACACAGTCATTGGCCCTGAGCCCCAGTTTTAGCCTCCACAGTGGTGCTGTCAGTTCTGTCTGCCCTGTCTTCACCAGAAGCCCCTGCACCAGCAAGTAAGAGGCGGAGGATGTCTGTGCTGGGAACTAGATGGGTCAGGGTGTGGGTTCGGATCCCAGCAGAGACACTGATCCTGTACCCTTGAGCAAGATGCGTCTCTTAGGCTTCTCCAGAGGAGCTGCCCCTGCTTGTTTAAGGTGCAGAAATGTGTGTTGCTGAGGGTGAGAGAGTTTATTTACCAGACGTACATGTTGAGATTCTTATAATACTGAATAAAAGTGTCAGCAAAATCAACACATAAATCAAAACAATATGCTGATCTCGCTGCACATCACAGGTTGTGGGCTGTCTTTTCCATTGAACTGTTATTTTGGATCATCCACTAAGGGATGATTAGAAAGTGTTCAAGACTTTTAAGAAACAAACTAAAACCCGGTGACAGTGAAGATACAGTAATAAAATTGTATCCATGTTTGTAGCAGAAGAAGGTCATTTAAAAAATGTATAAGCTTATCACTCCACATCTCGGAGCTCACAGCGATTTCTACACATTGTCACTCGTAGATGTATTCTACAAGGAAAATAAATGCATCAAATATTTACTTGAAAATGTATTAAAACTCTTAATTGCAGTACATTATATTGTAGTTACATCAGGACAATGCTTAGCACAACTGATTAGACATACAGTAGTAAGAATTTAAGAATGCATTTGTGTCTGGTGTTGTGAAGATTCCTCACACGTTTTTCTCCTACTTCGTCCTCTCAGCTTGCACCCTGTTCACTCTTCCTTCAGGATCTCCTGCAGCCCTGTCCTGCAGAATGTTCGCAGAGCCCCAGAACGGCGCACAGGAGCCACATTGTAGGTGGCCTCACACCAAGCCTGTCACATGACCGCGTCACATGACCCGGTTTTCCACTTTTCCAGATGGCCCAGCTGCAGTCTGGCCCTACAGATTGGAGCTCTTCAGGGTTTCTCATCAGGGACCTGCTGTGCTCAATGACAGCCCAAGGCTTCTCTCGCCTACTGAGGAATAATGGCAGGTGCTGATGAAGCTGTAAAGGCGAGAGAAATGAAGTCCAGTTCTTTAAATAATGATTTAGCCACGGAGAAAAACATCGTCCTCTCCTCAGTCAGAAGAAAGAGGGTCCTGGTTCAATTAACATTTCAAAGCTTGTCTTTCATAAAGGCAAGGCCTTACAGTGCCATGAAAGGCTTCTATGTGCAAAATAGCATTTTTGTATTTTTACAAATATTTAAATGCATTTATTTTAGAAACAGAGTCAAATGAAGACAAAAGTTTAAGTCTCCATGATTCAGAAAAGACTGAACTTGAAGTATTTTGAAATTCATAAGAAAACATATAGTACCTAAGTGCAGTTGGACAACATGAAGCTGCATTCTCCACAGTGTGATCTGTTTCACATCGCTGCCTGGCATTCAGCTCAGGACTGTGCAGGTTCAGTACGTCACTTTATGCAGCAGGTGTGTCTGGTGAAGAGGACCAGTTCACAGCTGCTTGCTGTACTGCTGTTTAATCACATCTGATCCTGTGCTGAGGTGTCTGACAGCCAGGTAAGCTCAGAACCAGGTGTTTCCAGATGAGGCATTTAAAAAATCTCAGCCTTTTCAATACCAGGAGGCTCAGCGGGGCTGTTCCTATAGACTCCATAAGTAGAACCATGTGATTCTGAGATATAGGAAATTAAAGAAACAACACAAGATGATTGATTAATATGAGTCTTTGAGTTGGGGATCCTTTGGTCTCATTAAGCTACTCCTGTACCAAATGAGCAAAATCAGCTGAGTAGCTACTTTCAATTGCATGTTCTTGGTAGCGGAATTGAAATTTGTCATCTGCATTATTATTATTGCTAATATTATTACTACTGCTACAGTAATATAATAATAAGTGGTAGTTATAGTTACTGAAGAACTACACTTTTAAACACTACCAAGAAATAACAGAAAACCAGACTTGGGAAGTTGCTTTTGTAAAATGTAATTTAGGATTTACAAACTATTACTACTCTGCTCTGTTGCAGTTTATTGGACATACGTGTTTCCTCTGTCCTGCTCAAGCAGTAACATCTGGAAGAGTCTACACCCAATTCTGACCATTAAATATTCCCCACGGAAATAGATTTCTCTTTAACTTCCCTTCCTGCCACTGGTCGTGAACATTAGGAGAGACTGCTTTCAGAGGGGTCTTGGTCTTTACCGAAGGGACGATCTTTCTGCACTTACCTGTCTGTTGGCATGTTTTCTGTAAGCCAGGAAGAAAGGGTGGTGTTCTGCAGACTGTCGGGAGACACTGCCTCACTGTCTGTTCACCATGACTTTCACCTGAAACTGTAATCAGTTAGGTCCAGAGAAATAAGACTTTTAGGCATATTGACATCTTCTTCAGTTAACAATCTGAACATTATGTTCTTCTTATGAAAAAAGACTTAAGGCACTTCAAATACATGGCCACAGAAAACATATTTTCGTAATGATTTTGGTGTTACGCTGACTGACATTTCAGATACACTTCATTTCAGGCTATATGATCTAATCGACTCATTTCAAAGCTGTTTCATCACTGGACTGACAGCGGCTTGATCAATGTGCAGGTTTCCTCCCAGCTCTGCTGTCTCAATGGGTGGACAAACACGTCCAGCCGACCAGACTGGTTTCCCAGGTCTCCCAGAACGAGCCTGTGAGGGGACAGGATGAGCGGTGCTTGAAAGGCCAAGAGCAATAATAACTCTGGCAGAAGCCTGGGGAAAAGAGAGGTGAAGGCTGCTTGTTAGAGGCTCTTCCTCACTGGATCCGAGTTATCAAGGCCAGCTGAGTTATTGTACTGAAAAACAGAGACCTACCTGAAACTCTGCTCTGTCGTTGCACACATGCTTCAGAGCTCAGAATGCCATGACAGGATCTTAGATCCTAAGATTCCTGAGATTACAACAGGAACGTCTTTAGATTCCCACCGCATAAGAGAATGTTTTGTTTGTCACTTGCGAAAATATTCAGATGTTGCAGTGCAATCCCGGAAGAAGCTGGAGCACATAGGGGTGACCCCTGAGGTGAGGTGCTGGCCTGGAGACGTACAGTACAGGGTAGGTGGGAAAGAAGCTCCTTTTCACAGAGACCCTGTGGGACTGTTAATCTCCCAGCCTGGTACTAGAACAGCATGAGGAACAGAAGGACTCTGCTGCTCTCCAGCTCCTAGAGGAGCTGTCAGAAATGTACCTCAAGGTTCCCTAAGAAACAGTGCTATTGCAAAGCTTGTGTTTGTTGGTATTCATAGCAGAAATATCCTACCTACATATCCTACCAGCAGGTTCCTAAAGAGGAAGAAGAAAATAATTAATGAATCGCTGTTGGAGTAGGCTGAATTTGACCAAGCAGCTGGTTACATTCGCCTATAGCAGAATGCAGATCAAATCTTGTCCATTTCTCCTCTCACACACTTGAACACAGCAGCATCTGTGTTGAAGAGGTTATGTAGCAACTGCATGTTTTCTTCTAGTAAAATGTATAAAACATGCAAATGAAAGCCTTTAAATTACTTTATTTATTTGAAATTCTAACCAAAAAAGGTTAAAGTTCAAATATTGAGCTTTACCTGAGCAGGACAATCCTCAGACTCCAGTCCCATTGCAAACAGGGTGGACCTGTGGAACTCAGACACCACAACCCTCTTCACACATTAATATGTCTTGAACACTGAGCATACTCTATATTTACCAGAAACACATCTAATCCAAAATATAAGCTTAATGAGGTAACCACTTTTAGTGATAAAGAATTAAATTTAACTTTTACAACTCTAAAACCAAACCATCAAGTCAAAGTTGTCATTTTACAGACAAATTAGCCATAATACTGAAATATTGCATTTCCCTCTTCACTGACACATACATAATCTAACCATTCCTAGACCTGATAAAATGACAGATCAGAACACTGCTGTCTTGTCAAGGGTAGCAAGTAACTTTTGCCGAACTCCTATAGAGTTCTAACCATGACATGTAATGGGATTAGTCACAGGGTGCTGACATACCTTCACCTGCAGACAAAAAGCTTTCTTTTATCATAGGGCTCAATGTCAGGCGGTATAATTTGCTTATTAACAGAAATCACCTTGGGGCATCTTACACATTAGCTGTCAATCTGTACACAGAGGTAACTCAGGTGTGTGAAAGTAGTGTCGTCTTTAAGACAAGTCACAGACATCTTACACAGCCCTCATTTCAGAAAGAGCAATCGTTCGCCAGCTTGTCAAGAAATTCTATAATTCTTTGTTTTCGCCACAGACGTCTAATGAGACAGGTTGAGACACATAGCGAAGTGAGATAGTTCTGTTGCCATTATAACTTGAACAAATCCTTCCCTTTCTCTCACCCTCCCATGTTTCCTCAGATCTGAGTGACTTTGTCATCCGTCCCCTATGCTGTAGTGTGTTTTCCAGAAGTGGCTCCATCAATGACCCAAACCAGAAAAGTATATTTCTACATGGAAGGAAACGCCAGTACTGAGAACAGAGTCAGTGCTTTCACCTGGATTTTAAAGATCTTATTGCTATACTAGAGCAGTGGTCCCAGTTGTTGTCAGGGATGGGTTTCCAGTAGAACAACTGTGTAACTGTTGTAATCCACAATATGGAGAGGAACGGTGGCCAGGAAGAGCATCTCCTCCCTCTGACACACCTGTCATTTGCCATATCTATCCTTTCTGCCTACCTGATGCCACAGGCAGCTTCAAATACATGCCTGCAGTGTTTAGCAGTCCAGGCAGGCTACAGTACACATGCTCCATTGTTCCTGATGCCTCTTCCTGTCCTGTTGATAAAACATCTCCAACAGATTTGATGAAAATGAGGCTCAGGAAGAAAAGGAAACGACTGGACCTCACAGGGCGACGCTGATCTGGGTCAACCGGTCGTCTGGAAGCAAAGGAGACAGGATCAGAAATCCATGCATTAATGTGCAGGACATCCCCCATGACAGGGCTACCACATAACTCTTCTAGGACTGTGACTGATAGGACTGAAATAAATAAATAGTGCCATTTTGTTTCCTCACAGGGCTGAGTGAATTGCATTCACCGGATCGTAAATCTGTAAAACGAGTGTGCTTGGATCTGGCTCTGCTCTTCGTCGGCATGCTTGCTGTCTGCAGGACTGGTGCAGAGCCATTGGGTGCAGCATAAATTATCTGCCTTCAGCAAAACGAGCAGCTGAATCACATATGGCCACTGACAGCGCTTGTTAAGCCTTTATTAGTTGCTGTAAGCACATACTTTAGAGAGACATACCATCGCCTGAAACCCAACTATGTTTGACTGATGTACTCAGAAGTTGGAGTAGTTAAAGGAATTAGATTTCTCTCATCACAGCAGACTCTCTGTACAAATTGCAGCAGCACTGCTCTGCCAGGAAAGCCTTTGCACCTGAATGACAAGTGATGTTCTGACAAACATTACAAACAAGAGTAAATAAGATAGTAAGTAAGCTTACTAATGAAACAAAAAGGATGATTATTCAAGAAGCATAAGAGCCACAGAACGCAGTACAAGGTGTGGATTGTACGTACTGTAGATGAGCTCGTGTGTCTTTGTCCCTCCAGCAACTACCCTGTCAGCAGAGTAAATGAAAGCAGGGAGATCTCCCTGATACCAATGTAAATAAACACAGTGTGGATAACCCCCCAGGAGTTAGCTGGTGTGTGTTCTTCCAGTCCCTTGAGGATGAGTCCATATGTTTGCTTGCTTCTCTGGAACATTAGATCAGTCCTGCTTGAATTTACTTCTCCTCCTTGGGTATAAATTCAATTTAATTGCCTTCCTTTATCTTCATTTCCTACCACTTGTACTGCTTATAAAGACTTATCTGTGCATTTCCAAATGCCTTATATCGTATAAGTGACTATTTTGATCATTTTGCAAAATCTACTTAAAAACCTCCTAAGGACGTATCCAATGGCGTTGACGATTTCCTTCACCCACAATGACTGCAGCAGGAGCAGAGAGGACACAGATGTATTCAGGTCGGAAGCAGCGATCGACTGCTGGTTTCTGAGCACGAAAACAATAAAGTCTCTGGCGGAACTGAGGCCTTGGCAGCTTCACACACACAGCGTGCTTCCTCCTCAGATAAAGCTTCCCAGAACCCGGACATGTTATTCAATCCCATCCAGACAGGAGCTCCCAGTCTTTCCATCTTTAGGGGTGATGAGTATTGGAGATCTCCAGAAGCCAAACCTGAAACACTCCATTAGATCTGCTTGACCATGAAGGTTTTCATGTCAGTGGCTGCAGTTATCAAAATTTCCTAGTTTCTGTAAGATTGCTGATGACATCCCGGACTGGAAGCCTCAAACACTGTTACCAAGAAGCACAAGAGCCAGTTGTGACTCTGTACTGTAGAGTTACCATCAGAGGAACGTCTGCCAGAAATAAAACCCCTGGGGATCTGGTGTGACCAGCCTTCCATGAGCTTTGTGGGGCTTCAGTAATACAAATCCTACCAAGTAATACATTTAATATACAGTACAGACTCAGAACGCATTCCAACAAAAGCAAATAACTCGGAATTATGTTAGAAAAGCTGCAGTCAACATTGTTCGGTCACCCCATTCATATTTAGGCTTTTACAGCAAATACAGTACAAGTGGAGAGAAATTTTGACAACTATGAAATGGTCATACTTCCAATCAGGTTAACTTAAGCTTTAACACGATTACTAATAGCCTGTTATGAGCTGTATTTAAGAAATAGAAAAGAGTTAAGAGGTGCATGTGAGACAAATAATATATCAAAACTGCTTCAAAAGAGGCACCTTCACTAGGGAGCAGATAAGCAATTGATTCTTATCCATTCCCAAAATAGCATTGTATTTCCAGCAATTCCAAAACAGATGGATATTCTTTGTCAAGAGGTAATGGTGTTTTAATTTTAAATTCATATTCAGCAGTAAATCACTAACTTGAGGACACAAGTGGAACCCACACAGAAGTGTAATTAAAACAGAGAACAGGATGCACCTCTATACCCAAAGGGTGGTGGGAGCGTGTAACAAGCTGCTCAGCCACGTGATTGAAAACGATACTCTTGCTTCTTTCAAGAAACGTCTGGATGAGATCCTGGAAACAATGACTGCTGGTTGGGCCAAATGGCCTCCTCTTGTTTGTAGATGTTCTTCTGTTTTCATAAACTTAGTGCTAAATGAAGGGTATTGTCAAGGTGCCACCCTGAGTGAAGATTATTTCAGCACCATCCCATAATCATCAGTGCACAAAAGAACAATTGAACTGTACTGCCTGAGCAAAGAATACCATAGGAATATGGGACACCCTGCTCAGGACTGGAGCATGGTAGCAACATGAATTCATGTTGTTTTGTTTTCTTTCATCTTGTAAGTTGCACAAAAACAGATTTGGACTTATTCTCCCCTCTGTGGGTTTAAGGATAGTGAGCTACCAAAGGGGCCCTGAGTATGAGACGAACAGCTCGCACATTTCTCAACTGCTGAAGCAGCACCGAGCAGCCATGAGAGAGAACAGCAAGTCACTGTGCAACCAGAGCACCGAACAGCACAGCTGATTAATAGCATCAGGCAACCTGCAACTACATATGTAGCTATGAAAGTTGCATTATTCCACCCAGGGTTTAAGGAACAACTATAAGAATGCAAGCATCCTACAAACCTGCTGGATCTTACAAAGGATAAGACCACTACTGTAATTTTCCCTTTCAGTTAGGGAATTATACCTTGTTACATAACTCAGATGAAAGTTTAAACACTTTGCAAATAATGGTTTTCCTTTTTTGACTGGATATCATTGGGTTAAATATAGCTCATAAAGAGCACTATTTGCATTACAGAGGCTAAGGAACTTGTTCTGAGAAAATGAGGCAGGGTTAACCGTCACTTTCTTTAGAGAAGCACATATTCATACCCACTTTATACCAGAGGTACTGTTTCTGGGGTCTGTATCCCAGCTAATACCAATGCTGTTACTTCTGAAATCCATATTCCAGTTTAAATCAGATCTGTGCTTTGTTCAATAGACAGGTGTTATAAAACTTGATACGTTTCAGGCCAAAGGCTGTTGTTCAGGAGAACAAAGGGGAGCTGTGGTAGAGATATGAATCTGTGACACCAGATGTTTGTGTTGCTCTGGCGCTGGAAGGCACCTCGCTCATATTCTGGCTGATCAAACGTTCCTTCAATCGCTCTGAAGTGGTAAACGCCTTGACCGCAGAGGAGAGACATCGGTCTGTTGTGAGGCGGGACAAATTAACAGCTTTCACTTGAGTTCTTTCTGTCACTCCTTTTTGAAGTGAGGGTTATGCAGTACATCAGAGATTGAACTGAAGTGGTAAAGACACGCAGGAATCACGGTGCACATTGGTCAGGCTTCGCACAGCAAATCAATTGGCCTGAAATGTGACCAGATAAACACCCACTTTGTACATGGACAAAGAATCTAATTAGTTATAGGGTGAGAAATTAAAATTCTTAATAATCAGGAAAACACGAAGGAGAGTGATGCTTGTCTGCTTTCCCAACAAACAAGTAACAGTATAATTACTGTACAGATGTACAGCAGATGTAATTTAAACCAATATTTTAATTAATCACCATTAGAACACATCTTGAAGCACAATCAAGTATTCTATACTTACACATTTAAATAATAATATCAGATTCAGACACTTGGATGGTTTTAACATTTTGTTATACACAACCAACTCCACACATACAAATCAAAACAAGGAAGACATTTTTACATATAATTAATATGAAAGGAGAATGGAATAGTCACAGCTGCGTTAGTATTCCAACCCTTTGCTGTGGCAAACCTAAATTAATTCAGGTGCACAAAATTATCTTACAGAGCCACACAATTAGTTGATTGGGCTCTGTCTGTGTGCTGTTATACAAACAAAATAAATACATCTGTCTGTGAGGTTCCTTGGTCAGGTAGTGAATGTCAAGCAAAGACTCAACCATTAAGATTAAGGCGCTTTCAAGGCCGGTCAGGGATAAGTTGATAAAGTGAAAGGCACAGATCAGGTACAGAACGGTACGGAAAATATTGAAGTCTCTTAATATGAGTGAACACAGTCAACTCAATCAAGAAGAAGAAGGTGAATCATACTTCCCAGACACTGCCTACATCAAGCTGTCTCTCCAAACTGAGCAGACACAGCCATGAGGCCAACAGCGTCTGTGAGGGAGTTACAGAGTGTAACTCTGTGGCAAAAAGACAAATCCATCTCAAATCCTGCACGGAGTTTGCCAGAAAGCATTTAAATGATATTTTGCTAACATATGGCAAACGTTTTTGGTGTTCAGGTGGGAGACAATCTGAACTTTCTGATCTAAACGGAAAGTGTTATATCTGGTGCACAGTCAGTGCAGTGCATTAACCGTCAGCACCATACCTGCAACCCTACTGTCAGGCATGTGTGGCAGCGGTATGGTAACGTGCTGCTGCTCATCAGTAGCGAATTGACAAGGTTGAGGGAAAAATAGATGGTCCAAAATACAGGCAAATCTTAGAAGATAACCTGCTATTCTGTGAAAGACCTAAACCCAGGAAAATGACTCAAAATACAAAGTCAAAGCTACAATGAATAAAGACGTGAATATCCTTGAATGGCTCAAAGTCCTGACTCGAACACTTCTGAGAATCTGCATGAAGATTTGAAAACTGATGTCCATAAGCCATTCCCAAAGCATCTGCACTGTTACACAAAGTACCGTAGTTATAGTGCTCAGATCTGTGTTTTAGGTTAAGGTGCTACATTATGTTGGGAATTAAATTATAAAAAAGGTGATTTAAATGGCAAACAGCTGGATGACCCTACCTTTATCTTTATTAATCATCAGCATTAATCACTAGAAATATGTTACTTCTTGATTGCAGCTGTGGACTTGGATTTAATCTTGGAACGACATTCCTGTGTGTGAAAAGGATACATTTAAAATCCCCCCTCCCCCAAGTGAAGTATGAGTGGGGCTGTGTGGGTGCTGGCGCCTGGCCGGTTCAGAGCCTGGTCTTGTCATTAGCTGAGTATCAGCTCCTCTGTGGCTGAGTGAGGCTTTGAGAATCTTGGTCCGGTGTCTGTCCTTGGCTCACAGTGAGAGGTGAAACACATGGCCTGATGATTCACTGGCTACAGGACATGTGTGCACCATCCTCATCTCTCCTGCCTCTGCCTGTGGCTGGGCTGGTTTGAGAAGCACCTGGATTTGACCAACTTTCCAAAAAAAATGAGTTACTCAGCTTGAATATTATTGGGCTGTTAAATAATGGAGGTTGCCATAAACTATACGAATGAAAGAATTGTATTGATTTAACTATATTATTTTTATAAAAAGCACAATGTTGACTTGCTCATTACTCACTCCTAACTTATACATACATATAACACTATAAAAGAAAACATACAGTACAAACCTGAGTCAGTGTAAAGGAATATGGGCTCTGTAGCATTGTAAGAAAGTCCCAAAGTGCTATGTAACACTGCCTTGTGTTCACACTGGACTCCTACAACCAGGACTGCAGTCTGCTGGAGTACAATTGAACATAATGTAATAGAAAAGTCTCTAAAGACACACTGATGCCAAGAAGACATGTTACAACTTGTGCTTGTTTCTTTAAATTGTAATTAACAATGCCCCAAATGCAGGCCATGCTTTTCATGTTGTATTGCTGACTGAGACACACTGTGCAGTAACGGGCATGGTGCTGTTACAGCAGCTGGTCCAGCCTCAGAGGTAACAGCCTGCAAGGGCATCTAAATCAGCACCAGGTGACCTGTCAGATTCCTAGACAGATGCAGAATTAAATTCAGATTCATCTGCACCATTTCTATAAGAACCTGCAGCAGATAAAAAGCTATAAACTCTGGGTCTGAAGAAGCTACGCATGACAGTGATTGAGGTGTTTATGTTGACCTCATTCCCGTCTCCATGGCACTGTGGAGAAGCAGCAAAATGGAAGACAGTGTGGAGGAACATGGAATCACATGCACAACCCAGGGAACTTCGGGATCATGAAACATGAACCAGAGGATACGACAGGCGTCAAAGGGGCAGGGCATTTGAAACTGAGGACAGCGGGCTTTTCCATGCAAAGGGCTTCGGGAGTCTGGAACAAGCAACTGCGCCGTGTTGCTGCAGCTAGGTAGTTAGAAAAGCCGATGAGATCTGAGGATCTCATATCGTCTAAAACCCAACGAGCTCAGTGTCCTCCTCTCGTTTGCAAACAGTCTTGTTTTCTGAAAACTTCTAACTGATCAGAACAGCAGCTGGGAATCGCAGTCCCTCTTGTCTCAGTTATTGCACCTCCAGAGAACAACACAGGGCTTACCAGAAGAAGGTTTAAGCACTTTTAAAGACTATTTCATATTGTTCAGTCAAACCTGAAGTAACTCATCACTAAGTAAAGCTGACAAGCACCATCAGGACCAAACTCCAGAGGAGGAGGTGACTCTGTTCCTTGAAACAGAGCAAAGATGCTCCATAGGTCTCAGCTTGCATTCTGGGAAAAAATAAATGTTTATTTCACTGGCTGCAGAGAGAATTTATTAATTTGACATTTTTTATTATTTAAGAAAAAAATCAATATATGGGAAACATTCTATTTATCCCATACCTAAATACAGGGCTGGGAGAAATCGGAGACACTCTTGTCAGGACAAAATAATAAACTGGGATTCCTACCTCCCTTCTTAATGGGGGGGTGGGGGGGACATTCAACAGCCAATCAGCCGCTCATGTCTTTTAGGGGGGAAACCAGAGTTACTGGCGGAGCTCTTCCTGAGCACAGGGTGGGCTTCTGCATGAAAACTCCACACAGGCAGGTGACAGTGCTGGACTGGAGCCAATAGACAGTCCCCTTGGCTTCTGTAACCCCACCACTTCTGTAATACTGTGAATCTGTCTGCACTGCCGCTCTGTAAAAGCATTTGGGGTTCTAATATATATGAAAGATCAAATTGTTTATGGGTCAAAATGAAAACAATTTCTGAGCTACAATGTACACAGTAGGGCTTGTCAAAGAAGGAAAGGAATCAGTCTTCAAATGCTCCAGACTCAAACTGTGCACAAATTCCTCTGCAAGCACAGCATCTGAAGTGGCTCTGCTGCTTAGACCCTTGACTTTTGCACCACTACATCTCCGTTCTTTAAGCTTTCATTAGAAATGTTTCCTTAAATTAAAATGGAGCGGCTGTAGTTGACGTTTTTCCAGACATGTTTTAAATGTGACCATTTTTCGGTGGAAAGTCCTGAAACTCAGCAGGTGCTCTTATGTGACGCCAGGCAGGATAGAGCAGGAGACACCGGGATTGGAAACAGACCTGAATATCCCAGACCAGCTGACCAGCTGGGCCCGAGGTCAGTGCTGGGTCATCTTGCTGGAAACGTTCTGTCGTGACACCACCCACACCAAAACAGCCTGCTGCAAGTCAAGAACGTCCCCACCGTGTGCTCAGACACAGAAAGAAGAGGCCGAGCGTAATGTTCTCGCTAATTCGTTTTTATTAGTCAATATGGAAACACGCGATGAAAGAGACCCATCTTGGCCACACCTACCGACCGCGTTTCCGAGTTTGGAAAGAGAGCACCGCGAGCTCCAACAAATACTGACACCAGTTAAGAAACTTAAATAAAAAGCTTATATGGCGTTATTCGTTTGCTTATTTTTTGACAACCAGGTCAAGCAAAATACATTTTCTTTCCCGCGCTGCACTTCCACCTAAACACCTCCATTTAAAAGCAGATCAAAACAACTTCACACCTTCGTTGTTTTTTTTTTTTTTAGAAATTCCAGCGCATCAGATTCAAAACGTGTCACAAAGGTCACAAGGGTTAAACCAGCAGTCGCCTACCAGCAGCTCTTTCGGATGGGGATGGAGACACCAGCCCTGCCCAGCCCCGTGGCCGTGGCGACCCGTTTGGAATGAGAAAGCCTTTTCAACGCACCGAAGAAATCGCCCGCCTGCCCTGGCGCCCCCTGCAGGGAGAGGTGTGGAAGCGCGAGTCGGGGAGGCGGGGTTGTGACGTCACGATCCCCGGCGACCTGCAGAGGCGAGCCCGCGGGGCTGCCCGGCCACGTGCCCTTCCCCCTGCAGCCGCCGGACGTCCATCGGGGCTGCAGTGACCGAGCTGTGACCCTCTGTTGAGGAAGGAGAGTCGGGTGTTCAGTGACACAAGCAAACTAAAGCCAAGAGAGTAAACAACCAGCTCTCACACGACTTTAAACTCGATATTTCAAATGCTTTGTCATCCCCGTATTACAAACCATCTTCAATTCCCGATTAGTCTTGCCAAGCAAAACTAAAACAAGGAAATACATGCATCTATGGATTAATTTATCGATCCATTCTGAAACCATTTTACGATTAAGGAAGGGATTAGTGTTTTAAACGTCTGAGTGCCAATCTACCTAAGCGCGCAGGAAAAAAAGAAAAAAAAAGTACATCTGAAGGTTGTAGCCCCCTATTATATCTAATTGCTATAATTTTTTTTTCTTATATTTTTCTATTCCACTACCTATGAGGTTTATAGAGAATTTAGAATTAGCCGGAACATGCATCGCTTGGGCGCGTAACCCTTACAGAGCGACCAAACTCCTACCTGTCGCTTACCCGACTACCAGAGCTCTCGGGTATAACAGCCTTTTTATTTCGACAGCCTAACCTAACCTAACCGTGAATTGTACCAAAATGTACCAAATCAGGGGGGAAAACTACACTTAATTGTGGTGATGCGTTCTACAATAAAAAACATTGATAGATTTTGGCCATGACGCCCATGCAGCCTGTGTTTTCCGTGGTCAAACTGTGGATACGCAGAAATGCGTTTCACCTGTTTTTTATACCATCTGATTCTCATCGAATGCGCAGGTGTTATGACGTTTCATCGTCGTGTTCACTGTTCTTGCAGTTGCAAATAGTAATAAAATTAAACAGCTGACTTACCGGGCGCAATAGTCAGGTGGACAAAGTCTTCTGTAATAATCGCTTGAATTAAAAAAAAACGATAGTACGATTGATGTTCTACCCGTTTTGTTCTTATGCTTCATTATGCCAGATCAGTAATTGCCTAACACATGAACAACATGCTAAATACTCTCGATATTGCTATTTTTTGCTCTTTACAGAAGCAAACAACATCCATTCGGGCAGTATCCATTTAAACAGAATGTCCCTACCAATCTAAAAGTCTGACATAAAGGAAAAAGTTTACAAGAAACCGATTCTCTTACGAATAATGTATCATAAAAATAATTTCAGATTGAGAAAATGTGTGCAATATGTGAGAAGCAGTGTGTTTGGAAAAGAGGAGTACTGAAGTTCAAAAACAATTTATCAGTGAAACTACAACAATTATATAAAAATATAAAAATAGAAACTCAAATATATGGGAGTAAATTGACGAACTCGATGATGCTTCTGAACAATAATTATATCAATCGTATAGCGACACGACAGGTCTCTTTACAAGACTGTCTTGAAAGCCCCGGCGCCTGAACGCTAATCGGATGATAAAACAAAGTACATAAAGTACCGTTTAGAAAGAATACTGATTCCTAAAAATGGCTTCATGAGAAAACATTTGGGTAAAATTATGAAATTCAACAACCAGAAAGTATGACTGGTTCTTTTTTCTTTTATACAAATATAGACAAATGGTGTCCTGCATGAAGTTATTATATTGTAGATCATTCTTATTCAATTTTTTGTTCTCGTTCGTTGGTAAATAATTTATTTGTCTTTGTTTTTTTATTCCAAGGAGACACTTAATTTTAAAAGCAGGAAATAAAACCAAATATTAAATCAACTGAAACATTCTGTCTATCTCGTGCCCCCACAGCTGTTCACGAATCCGTTCGCTGGACTTCGTGAACCACGGAGCGACAGAGCACCATACAGAAATGGCATCTTCTAGATCTGTTAGAAAAGCAGATGAAAACTTAACAGTTCTGAGATGTGAATTCAGACTTTACATGTATAACTAGTGTAAACTGAAAACACGTTAGGAGAAATATATTTTATTGGAAAGTTCCTTATGCAAGGGAGTCATTTCAATAGATTATTTATGTACGTATAAAAACAATAAACCAAAATACATGCAATCCAACAAATTCACGGTCTCTCACTCACACATATTAGAAAACTGCAATAACATAGAAACAAGACAACATACAATTTAGCTCTTTGTTCCGACTTTTTCAGCATTAAAACTACGGGAAACTATCCACCTATTCTTTGTTTTGTAAACCTCAGTTTTTACTACCAATCACGCCATCCTGCTTGGCATAGCAGCAGGCACATGTCAATAGTCGGTATCGGTATCTGTTCAGCGCACAACCGTGGCCCGCATGGGACACCAAGAAAGAAAATTGGTATTCAGTTGGTAATTGGTAAGTTCAGTCGGGAACACGAAGTTCGGCATTTTTTTCCTCCTTTACATTATCCTTAAAAGTTAATTCATATAATTTAGCAATTATGATTTTAAATTACGATTATTCTATGTGAAAAGCTTAATATATATATATGTGTATAATTTTGTATAAAGTGCGTCGCTTGAAGACACATGGAAAACTGAACGCTAACGCTGGGCCGTAATTAAGCCAGTCCACAAAAGGAATAGATGGTGAATGTCTAGGTTTTTATTCCGCCGCAACTGACGCGGAGCAAAAACTAAATCTATGAGTTACGAGAAGTTTTAAAAATCCTGTTTGAGATCAAGCTCCCAAAGGGTGTTCGACCAGCTAGGCTACCCTCGTCATGAATACACATTTTCTTATCCGCGCGTCATAAACGAAAAACAGGAATCGCTGAACATTTTACAATCGAGTTACAGCACTGATGTCGCCACAATCTTTCAATAAGGTGCGTTTCTCTCCTCGTGTTCTACAGGCCGCCCTGATACACCGAGCTTTTTACAGCGAGCTTCTTCACCGATTGTACGTTATATGAAAGTATTTACAAAATACTCACAGGTTTCCTGCACCCAGGTCTTATTTCCTGAAGCCACAGACCTTCCGAAATGGCTGCTCAGTGACACCACCCGCAGACACATTCAAGGTAAAGGTGAATGCCAATCTTTACTCTTCGCGCCAGTTCGAGCTTTCCTCAGCAGAGTTACTCATTCTAAGGTAATTTACCACGAAGTACGTCAGAGAAACTTCAGGCCAGGTGATTCTTCATGAAAATGGCAGCATCCATTTTCCTTTTAATGATGATAGTGGCAATTATTATTATTATTATTATTATTATTATTATTATTATTATTATTATTATAAGTAGTAGAACACGAATGTGCTAGTACTGGAATGCACAGAGAAGAGCGGAATAAACACTATTTTTCCTTAAGTATCAAGATCCATCATATACAGTACATGTCTGTTGAGCCACATTGTCAATTTAAAAGATAATCCCGTGGATTTCATCGCCGTTAACACTCAACACTGGATATCTGCTACATTATACCTTTTCACTGCTTTCTGAACAGGCCTCGAATCGCTGGCCTTCGTCTAGCTAATTATTAGAAAGGATGATAAAATCAGGATATTTCATTAAGATTTTCAACACGGTTTCGGCCTCGTCCTGTTTCAGTAGTCTGTGCCCGTAAACTCAGGTCAGTATCGCTGTCGGCGCACAATGTTTCCACAAATGTACTGTGAAGGGTTGGGGTGAGACAGCTCACGCCTGATATCCAGCTGTGGGCTCCAATGCGCCAGACAGTATCCATACTGTCTCAATATCACAATATTCACCAGAAACAAAAAATTCAAGAACACATAGGTGCTATCGCGTCTGGTCCCACTAACAACATTTTATTTACTTGTCCTACATTATTTTCCCTCTGGACTAATTCTGGGCTGATCGGTCAGAAATGAATCTCAAAAAGGGATCAACCATATTTCTCCAAGGAAGGTCAAAGCTCCTCGACTTCATCCCTCCCCCCACAAGCCCTTGGGTACCGAGGAAGTATCTCCTGACCGATAAACTCGTTTTTCACTGGGCTCGGGGCAGGAAGGGAGCGAGATCGCCCTGCAGTTTTCCTCAGAAACAGGGACGAGACGCTTGCGGAGCTGGCTGGGCCGCCTGGCTGAGCAGGACACTGGAGTTGTGCCCCTGTGCCCTCAGACGGCGCCGTGGCACAGACCAGGATGATCTGAATACCCGCAGCTGCTCAATTTGTGGCTTTTACGGGACGTCAGAAATTCCCGTCCTAGCAGCAGGCTTTATTGCCCCTTTGACGTCACGAAAGCTTAAGACCTGTAAAGAGTCGGTATTCGGCTTTCTTTAGTATTTCAGAACCTATCAGGCTGAATACGGTCACCTGGACCGCCGAGCCCAGCTGCTCGGCACTGAGCCCGAGCCGTCCCGAGCCCGTCGCGCGCACCAGGGCCTGGCGCCGCGCGCTGCACTGCACACCTGTGCACGCGTCAGCCTACTAGTGCAGAATTCCACAGAGAGTCATACCTCTAATAGGCTTGAACAGTTTGTGTACTGAAGGCCACGAGAATACCACGGGAAGTTAAAGGTTTTAAATTAATTGAATGTAGGGTACGTAGCCTCTGTGATATGAACCCTTCGTTAAGCCCACCCTCTTTCATTCCAGATTGATTCCTTCAATCACGAGTCCGATGATGGATACCTTTTTGAAGGTGACTGAAGCCCCCATTTTGGTGAGGTTGTCGATTTGAATGATCTGTATCGAGAAAACCACAATCATTTCTTTTTAGATATTCATTTATGCAGTGTGTCTCCGAACTTTGACCTGCATAGGGGGAAAACAACATGACATTGTCTGCGTTTTGAAATTCACTGTGCGCGTTTGTGAGGGCGGTTTGCGTTAATGCATTAGTTATCTGTCCTGTAACAGCAGTCAGTAATGCTCGTCGGACGAAGGTAAGACAGCCACCAACACGCCCCGGTGATGCTGATCTCTCAAACCTTCAAATGTGGAAATGTTAAGATACCATTTCGGTTATTCCATTTGAAGGAGAAATCACAACCCATAATGTCGGATTAGCCTCTACCATCCCTAATGTTGGACTGACCCCCCAGTGACCTCGCGGCAAACAGCGGCCCAGCGAGCTTCCTGTTGTCTGTGGATTCATGCTCTCTGAGTAAATATTGATCTGTATCGGCCTGACTTCCCCAATGGGAGTCCACGCACAGGCGGGGGCTTCAACAGAAGAAGTATGCACACTCAGAAGACTACCAAGAAGTCTGCGAAAAACTTCGTTAGAAACAAAAACTGATTTGTGGGGTTAATGTTACTGCAATATCATATTCCAGTTTGAACACAATATTTTATACCGCGTTGTTTTAAAATATTTAACCAATCTCAGTCCATTAATTGAGCAGAATGAAACGACTTCACGTTAATTAATACTAAACTTACACGTTTGTCAATCGGTTTAGAAAAGTACTAGTTCCACTTCTGGGCAATACTGAAAAACTCTGAAGATTAAATATAGCTTGAGACATACAAAGATTGTTTCGTCATTATTTTAAAATACATAAATCCCTCTCTCACTTTGTCAGTTACACATTTTACATTTCCAGAACATCACAGATTTCAATTTATTAAGGATTCGCGACAATATCAATGTTGTAATATGACTCGTGCCTTTAGTATGAAATGACTGATGAAATATTTATACATCTCAAATATTAAATCGACACAATTGATTGTTAAACAATTCGTTAAAAACATAACCAATTAAATAAACCACAATTTAAACATTAACTACGCAATGGGATCTCCTGTAAATGTTACATGCAGATTTCAAACTGGTGTCACACAAACATGTAAGTAGATATGAAATTCATGCTTTTAGCACTGTGTATCTGGCTTGATATTTCTGCATACACGTGTTCTTAAATCGAAAAAATAGAAAATATTATTAATGATCAGTCCCGAATCATTTACAACGCCGCTGTCCATATTTAAATAGCACACATTTCTTTTGCCTTAGTCTTTTTTATTTTATCCAAAACCAGTCTTTTATCCAATAGTTTAATGGAATTGTAGAATGACTAAGATTATAATTAAGAAAATGCTCCTCTATAGTATTCGCGCACGGTCTGTAAAAATCTAGTGCAAACAGACTACACATGCTGCCATGCTGTAGCGTGCAAAAAAAAAAAGGCTTCTTAGGATCCGGTCAAAAAGAAAATAAGTATTTTTCTCGGTTTTGTTTTCTCCGGCCTTTAAAGTTAAACATTATGGCCCCTTCGGTGTAGCACTGCAGGCAAACTCCATGAAAAGGCTCGTTCTGGAGACTGCGGTGTTGACTTTCATGTCAGTAGCTTCTGCGACGTCAGATGAAAGGGCCCGGAGACTGGAATTCGACTGGAATTCTTTCTCTCTGCCATACAAACTCCAAAGGGAAGCTGAAAAATATTCGTCATTTTGAGGCTAATGAGAGGCTAATGAGGAGAAAACTGTTTAGCAATAAAATGCGCAGGTATGTGCAGGTAGACTATACTACCTTTATATTAAAACGAACTAAGTTATGATCCCAAATTAACTCCTAACCCTGTTGTGGGAAAAAAAAGTCATTTCTGGTTTGTTTAGAAGCAGGATAGTTTTAATACATATCATACATAGACCCGTAAACTTTACTCGATTCAAATACATTACATGTGTTGTTATAGTTTCTTCGCTTGTACAGAAATATACTTTTACAACTGATAAAACTCAGTGTTAAGGGAGGTACATCAAAGCGCTGTGCATCATGCAGACGTCGTCACGAACACAGGTGTCAAATACAACTTGGTATTCCGAGGTATTTAAAGTGTGCGACTTCACAGGCTCGGGATGAGCCCACTTTGAACATTTCAATAGTAAAACGTTTCAGTGCAATTTCGTTTTATTTCACACAAATAAACACAATTTACAATAAAGTGAGCTTGTCTTCTTTATGAGGTATCTGTTTTTCATTATCGTTTTTTCCTGTATAAAATAAAAAAAATGTAAGATCGCTCCTAAGTTGTGTCTTTCTATACCCTTAACATCTTACCGTCGTTATGTAAAAAGAGATTCTAAAAAATGGATTAAATACACATATTATAACTGCATCAAAGTAATTACATAATTGCAAATCATAAGCTGAAGAGTTTAGGCAAGATCACCCGACTGCAAACTCTCTGCATTTAGTGCATTTCTCTAGATTTGTCATCATCACCTGAAATTATGGGGAAGTTACACATGTGGTTGAAAACAGCTTGCTGACTGCAGTATGTACTGTGTCATCTGTCTTGTGTTTTAATACATATTGTTGTCATTGAAATTCCGATCATCTAAATCCCAGCACTTACTTGCTCTATATCACTAAAACAACATGATAAAATGCGGACAATGCAATCTGCCACATTCCTCCGATGAGTATGACTGGAGCTCAGAGGTGCAGCCGCATGACAGGCTGGTCTGTCAGCGCGCTGCTCAGGAGCTTCAGCTGGAGGGACACGTCTCCGCGGTGGACGCTGAGGATGAGGCTGGAGAAGGTGTCGAAGGGGCGGAAAGGGATCTTTCCGACGCGTCTTCTCTTTCTTCGCTTTCTGCTGCTGCCGACGGAGAACTCGGCAACAGACCTTCTTTCTCGCGTTTCTTTTGCTTCATCCTCCGGTTCTGGAACCAGATTTTCACCTGAGTCTCGTTGAGCTGCAGAGCTGCTGCGATCTCCACCCGCCTGGCTCGCGTGAGGTACTTGTTGAAATGAAACTCCTTCTCCAGCTCCGTCAGCTGCTTGGTGGTGAAGTTCGTTCTCACCGTGTTGGGCTGGCCGGCGAAACCGTATTCTCCAACTTTCCCTGGAAACCAAAAAAAGTGCAGAGGATGTCAGCCTGAGCATCGACATTCGTGTGAGAGAACATCACAGAGGATGTGCGCTTAATGACAAAACCGGGCGAACAGGTGGAAAACACTTTGAGGTCGACTTCCACAGGCTGGGTATAGAATAGGTGCTCCTTGAGGAAACGCACAAGGGTTACAGAATCTCGTCACATGTGCTTTTTGCATGACAGCAGTACAACACAACTAAACGATACAGAAATAAACTGTTGAATTCAGTTTTCCTTAAGCGTCGCAGAAAGACACATCAACGGTCAGAAAGGTGCGCAACAGCGTGACACTCACCGGTCTTGGGCGGATTTCTTTTGACTTTCATCCAGTCAAAGGTCTGTGCTTGGGGCGATGTCTCGGCCAGAGGAGAGCAGCAGGGGTCGTGGTGAGAGGCGTGGAGAGGAGACAGGGGGTTCGTGTAGCCGGGAAGGGGCAGGTTCGCCTGCTCGTGGCCGTAAGCGCCGTGCGTGTACGGAAGTACCCCCACCGACGCTCCGGTGTAGCCCTGGTGGTGCTGCACCATGGAAGCCGAAATGTTCCCCGAGTAAACTGCTGGGGCGCACTGAGGGTACCCCGCGCTAGACTCCACGTCTTGGTTCAGTGGGTAATGATTGTAACTCGCACAGAAGCCCTGTGTGGCATACCCCGCGCCACAGCTGGGGTGACTGGGGTAGGTGAGGCTCAGGCTGCTGTGAGGCTGGTAGGCGGCCGGCTGGTGAGGGTGGTGAGGAATGCCCCCTGGCGAGCCCCTGCCCACGCCAAAGCGATCGTCAGCGCCGCAGGTATTAGTTGTGACAGAGCACGACGGGAAAGTTGTAATCCCATGGTCTGGGTGAAAAGCCCTGGAGGAGCAGGATGCGGTTTCTCCGCTGATCACAGGGTAATCTAAGAAGGAGCTCATTGTAGCATTGTCTACCTGTCACGACTGGTCAGGTCTGAAGCGATGACCGTGCTCCAGCCCGGGTGACCGTGCCAACTTGCCCAGTTCGTCCATCGGGCCAGCACAGACCGATATGAATGAGGAGCGGGGGTCACGTGACTCGTGTCCGCCAGTGGCTGCACAGCGGTGCTGAGATAGCCTTCTGCTGGCGGTGATAGATCACCGGTTTACAGACATTTAAATTCTCCACGCTCCTCTATCAAGGTGACGCACACCAGCCCGTAATGTATTGCTAGTTCAAACAATGGGCGAGACAGAGTGCAGCGGAAATCGTTCAGGACACTTCTCGAGACAATAAACAGCCCATGTTCCTGATGGATAACGTTTCTTCTTTTCTCGCTTTTCCATCCCGAAAGCACAGCTGTTTCAGCATCACTTAAGCACAAGGTAAGAAAAGCGCCATCTCTGGTTGTGAAATGTTTTCTGTTTAACTGAACGTATTATTGTAGTCAACATCAAGTCTAAGATTAAATGTGTCTTTGGGGCACATTTATAAAGTGGGATTTGGAATTTAGCATGTATTTCACGTTTGCCTTCTGAGTGTTGTAGTGTGAAAAGACAAGGTGAGCTCGATTCAACATTTAGCTGGGGGTCGATGCTTGGATTGAAGTTGCTGCTCGTCAGCATTCGAGAGCCGGCAGACAGGTCGCATCCTATCAGGTGTCTGTGTGTGTTCACAGCTGTCGGCATGGAGATGAGAGCCTTCTGTAACCAAAGTCAGCGATGCTATCAGAGCGCTCTGAGCTCCGCGCATCACCTTCTCCGGCGGCTGGAGGCGAACACAGGCTGGACTACAGTCTAAACCGACACGTCTTTCATTCTACGATATAGGTCTTGGTTTCCCAAGCCTAGCCCCGGAGGCTCGCAGTCCTGCTGGCTTTCATCGCAGCACAGCCGTCAATGGTCTAATTTAGCTACTTATTGGCTTCGATGGAAGAGTTGAGCAGATTTTCTCAAGTCTGGAGGTGCCGCTGATCTCAGGAGACCTAGAAAACCTTCAGGATCGCGCCCCTTCAGGACCGGCCTGGGAAACCCCTGAAATGGGCGGAGCCTGAGAGGGGAGCTGTGACGCGGTTCATCTGCTCATATCCGCTGGGTCCGTAGAGACGAGCCAACTTTGAGAGACCAACCATTCAACTCTACAAATAAGATTTTATCCCGCCTGGTGTGCGGTTTCCCTCACAATATAGCTGATGTGACTCTCTTCATTCGTTTTTTTTTAGCACAGCTTCCGAAACCGTTCCTCTAAATACTTAATGCTTTTTAGGACGTAATTTCTCTTAATTCGATAAAAAGTTGTAAAGGGGCTATGTCGGTCAGACAAAACCATCTAAACTGGCATACAAATGTCTAAATGGCACGAGCAACAGCTGAAGAAGAGTAATATCGAAACATGCCACCCCACAGAAGGTTTCCTATAATAGCGTAGTGGTTCCAGAATGGAATATTTTAGCCATTCACCCCTAAACTTGTTTGTGCGTCAGCATGATTAAACGTATCCATCGATTAATCGATAACGAAATTACCCGGCGTTAATTTAGTTATCCTACAATGCACATTTATTCTATTGCTGTTATCATATACCCAATATGTATATTTAGGCTTTCCCGATTACGTGGTGTTTTGTCCACCGGCCCTGTTTCCACTGCGACCTTACACAAGGCGAGACTCCGTGGTCAGCGCTGTGCAATAAGATGGCGATCTCGCTTGAATCCAGGGATTCAGGAAAGGTGGCTCTTTCACAACGCCCAGCTCTGTCTGCAGTAACTACACATTTAAGCTTTCAAATATTGCCAGATGAACGTATGTCGTTTAGTACGTGTGCACAATCTGCACTGTTTTGTGTTTTTTTTCACATACAAAAAAATAGTATACCTTATAAGATAGAACGCACAAAATGGAAAGGCATGTAAACTTACCATCACAATAAAAAAACCCCAGAAATACATTAACAGGCCTGTCCAGCTCTGTGAAGTTTCCACATCGCCCACGTCTTTAAAATGCGAATTGTTGACAGCCGGAGTTGCGAAAGAAAGGAGGTATTGTTTCAGGGGCACTCTGATACAATTCCTTTCAAAACCGTCGATTCGCCAGCGTGGGAGATAGTCCCGAAAAAGTCTTCATTCTTTAAAGGTTTCTAGATGTTTGTGTCCAGAGAAAATTTGCTTTATGGCAACATATAATTGGCAAAATGTCACGTTATTGCCTATGTGGTTTACAGTTTAATAGATTTAATAATGTTCGATCGATTCCAAATTAGAGGAAAATATCATCGTAATAACAAATTACAATCTCTGGATGAGGCATAGAATGTGGATAATAAAGAAGAATAATTTTATTGACTAAATAGAAAGGCTCACTATAGACACCCTTTTAGGAAAAACTATATAAAAATAATCTTAAATATACATATATTTTGGTGCATAAGACAAACTACGTTTATGTCGATTTGAAGTCCATTGTTAAATGTGAACATAAACTTTTAACTAAACAAATCGAAGAATATATATATATATTTTAAAAGTGCACTTAAAGAGATTGTAACACCCGCTCTGAGTTGAGCAGAGTGCATCTCGGTGCATCGGCGGCCGTTCTCAGGCCGCTCTGCTGGTTTAAATGGCAATAAAAATGAATTACTGCCGAACGCCTACAAAGTTAATGCTTTTGGCTGGGAATCCCCAGTCCCTCCAAATACGTAAGAGGTTTTTATTTGTGCATGTGCTCCTGCAATTGATCTCTTTGATGACATTCTCATTCATAAAAGAGAGTTTGATTTATGAGTTTGGGAAGAATTTCATCCAGGCCTTCCAGCCACTTCTTACGCAATTCCATCACGTTTTGCAGAGTAATACAAACTAAGCCAGGGCGCTTTCTGAGAAGCCGGGCTCTAGTCTGCATAAAGCCGCTTTTTGCACAAACTCCAGCAATATGAAGTTTGATTTCCACAGATACCAAGTGTAAGCCGTAACAATAACTCTGTGCCTGTCTTTTAAAAGGACGAAGGCTGTAAACTACAGAAGGCTACGATACAGTGCGTTTTAACTTAAACAATATTAAGATTATTCAATGTTTTATTTTAAAGTGCAAAATTACCTATGCCTGTCCAAGAGTTTTCTATTTCCGACTATGCACCGAATGCAGCATCCCGAAAGATTCCTATATGAAACTATATTTAATTCATTTAGACATTTCCCCGCTGGAAGCTCTTTCTAGTTGTTCGTGTTCAGCTACTGCCTGAGCTCACCCGGCAGAATCCCATTCCACCACGTCCTGCGAGATTGAAACTCGGTGAAACGGTCTTTTGCACTAACTACGCTTTTAAAGTTTTTGTTGTTATGAAAGAAAAAGAACATGCCTGTAAAACTTTGAAATTGCTGTTTGTTTTAGTAAATACTTTTTATCTTATTTTAGGTTCGGGAACGAAGAATAGTTTTGGGTTTCAAGAGAGAGACACAATGGAAAACATTTTATTATTATTATTATTATTATTATTATTATTATTATTATTATTATTATTATTATTATTATTGGTGATGGTAATAATAAGTAGTTTTAGGAATTACACCCAAATATTATCCTGTACAGATTATACAAATTATATTTTTGAAAACGAATTTGAAAATTTGACTCATAAATTTAATTTTAAAAAGTTAATTGCTGATACATTTAAATGTATACTTTACTGTTATTTTTCTAAAATACGTTTAACATTGTACCTTTCTTTATGTTCATTTTTGATTTGCTGTGGAATAATAAAATATTCTGACCTTCCATTTTGTTCAATCTCGTGTTGTTTGAGAGGCGGGTAATATAAAAATTCATTTTAATTTTCATTTGGACCTGGAAATAATGCAGTGACACAATTATTGAAAGCTACCTGTAGCAAGTAAAATTTATTCTAACAAAATATTCATGACAATGTACCCGAAAGCGATACAAAAATAAAAGAACAGAGACTAAATTCTATTTTTTTTTACAGAACCAATGTATTGCTTTTGGAGAATTAATGTTTAAATGGTTAATTGTAATTATTGCCAGACTAAACTTTTACAAAAATTAGAGCGTGGACTTTTATCTTCTGTACTGAATTAACTAATTCATTCATTAATAAACAAAATGTACTGACCATATCAAAGAAAGAAATAAACAAATCAACTTAGAATAAAGGAGAAGGCATAGTTTTTTTTTCTTTTTGCAATGAAGAGTCGCTAGACCGGATTTTCCCCCCCCCATTTAATAGCTGAGATGCTGCAAGTCGATTGTTGTGAGAGTGTCCGAGAAAAAATCAAAACTGTCGGCAGAAATGTCTACAGGGCTGTCGAGAGACTCTGGCAAACTAGGGGAAACGGCATCTGAAAGGTGCAGGCAGGAATCTGAAGAGAAAACGTTAAAATCCTGTAAAGAGGACACGTCCAGGGCCTCGGGGCTGTCATTGTGGAGGCCAGCTGTGCAGTCATGGGCCATTGTTGACAGGCAGTTCTGAACAGTGGGTGACGGGCTCTGAAAATGTTTCAGATTTTTGTCATTGCTGCTTAAAGGCGACACAGTAAAACTTTGGGAATCTCCATTGTGCGCGTTCGGAGCCTGTTGTGGAGTCAGAGAATTTTGTTGAAAAGCGTAGCCCTCCCTTTCCAAGAGGGCTCCTGAGACATTGTTGAGGGCTTGCTCGAAAAGCGACTTCTCCTCCTCGCTCTGCCCGCCGTCCTCCGGGTTCCTGAGCTTCCCCTCGCCGTTGTGATTCTCTTTGCACTGGGTTTGCCTTTTGTGCTTCATTCGCCTGTTCTGAAACCACACTTTGACTTGCCTCTCAGTCAGATCTAGCAAAGCCGCTATCTCCACCCTTCTCGGTCGGCACAGATACTTGTTGAAATGAAATTCCTTCTCCAGCTCCAGGAGTTGGGTGTTGGTGTACGCGGTTCTCAGCCTGCGAGATCCCCCGCCAGCGTTGTCAGGAACCTCGGGCGAGTCTAAAACAGCACAAAAGCACAGGATTGTAAAGACTGCACTCACGAACCACTTGAGAATATACTGGATTAAAAAATACACTGCAACAAAATGGCCGCCTGAATGCAGTAAAATCTATTGTTGCTCCCCAAGGCGTGTGTGTAAAAATGAGTATAAAATCCCACCACACGACTTAAACAACACACGAACCAAACAGTAAAAATACGAATAACGCATTATAAGCCTCCACCATGCTTGCCACATTTTAATGAATGCGCCAGCTGCTTAGCTGTGCAACAGTAATCTATCACTCTTCATTACTGTCAAATATCACAACTCTGGCACTGAAAGGCATGGAAGGTCAGTCAGTAAATCAAATAAATCATTTTACATTACTACATAAGTTAGTGAAAGTTTGAACAATTTTAGGAAGCACTTAAATGAAGCGGTGCAAAATCGTCTCAATGAATGCAACTTTAATAGACAAAATGCATCGAGAGACACAAGGGGAAAATACACCGAATTTCTTCTTCCCCCAGTCCACTTCGTGCGTCTTACCTTTCGGGGGAAAGCAGGCCGGTCCGGTTGCAGCGGCTGTGGACGAAGACGCCGGCAGGTGATTCTTCTTGGAGGCTTTTTTGTCTTTCATCCAGGGATATTCCGGGGGCAGAGAGGCGGCCGGCAAGGGGCTGCTGCCATTCGGACTCTGTTTGGGCCGGCTGTGGCGAGGATGGCTGCCTGGGTTTAGGCTAGGAATGGTGTGCTCAAAAGGAGGAGGAATCAGTGTCGAGTGTGAAAGCGTCGAGTTCTTGATTGATGAACTTTGAAATGTATCACCGACAGGGGGAAAAGATGTCAGACACTCAGCAAGCGACGGCTGACTATTGATAAAACCAGTCTCTCGCTCGAATTCGTAATTCATTTCCCTTCCCTCAGAGCTTTAGAAAGTTAGCTCTTATTTGTATTTTGTGGCCCAGACAAAAATCATAAAAATCGCTGCTAGTGTTTTTTCTAATTCACTGATTACAGCCGTATGGGGACCGCGCTACTATTAAACTATTGAATTCATGGAGACAAGGTTGAAATTGGACCGAATTGGTTGTCACATGATTACTTCTGCCCAATGACAATTTGGGGTTTAATCAAAAGAAGCCACTGTCTGCGTGATTGATCCAAAAAAGTCTGTAAGGAACGCCTCGTTCTGGGGTAGCACTGTTTTTATTTACACGTTTTAGTAGGTTTGTTCATTACTGCACTACACCATAAAAATATATTTTAATCGCGGGTGTCACAGACAGCTTGTCTTCCTCTCTGCGTCCTGCTCACTCTGGGTATTGTTTCTGACTGTCAGAAAAACGCCCTATACCTCACAAATCATCCAGGCACCCACATTTGACGCCTCAAGTCATTAACAAAGTAATCCATTAATCTTGAAAGTTTTGACACCGGACCCCAACAACCTCGCCACCTAAACGTCTCACGAGGACACGTAGCATTAATTTAGGAACCTGCTTGGTTCCTTTTAAAAATTGCCTCCTTGCAAAGTGTTTTGCTGTTTCATCTGTAATGCGGTGTCTCAGTGCGTTACGTAAGAAATAAAATGCAACAAACGTATTCATGGTTGTACATGTATATATACTAGCGAATTGTTCCTATCAGCAAATGCAAAAGACAGCCAATCGAACTTAATAATGAAATGAAAATCCCATTTTTTTTCGTTTGTTTGAAATAACCCTGTCCCTTATCATACACTCGTTTGGCTTTAAATACTATTTCGCTCTTTAAGTTTTAAAAATATTGATATGTGACATTTCCTGTTTGTCTCTGTTCCGTAATAACACAACTAAGGGTGGTGTTTTATTTCGTTCTTAAACAGATAAAGCAGACTCCATAAATATTCTGACATAATTCCAGGCATTAAGACTGAGGGCTCTACGAAAAACCTTTCTCTTCCTTTACAATGTGGTATACACGACAAGGCTTTTCAAAAATAAAGCATGTAAAATGTCTTTAAAGTGCTCATTAGAGCGCTCGCTAAAACAGGAAATAAATGCATCGTTTTTATATTGGTTTTATCTCGTTGCTCACACATATTGAACAATGATCTGGGAGCAGAAGGTCTAATTTGTATGAAAAGGGAAAAATAAATAAAAAGAAGGATCTCGTTTTTCGTTTTTTGGGGTTTATAGTTTAGATATTTTTTATTCTCAAACGGCGAACAGTGGTAGGCCTCTCACAGTTTATTGCTTATATTCTAAACAAAGAAGCTTGGAAGCCAGCGCGTTATCAATCTTACTCGCCAAAAGGTCTGACAGCTTCTTGCCCTGAGAACACATTTAAACCTTCTAACTCTCTCTGAGATCAAATGTAGCCAGGGAGAGAGGAAGAACACTGAGCACTTATTCGAGAAAAAGCAAAATATTGCTGGCCTTTCAGAAACCAGGAGCTTATTTAAAACGAAACACACATCTAGCCAATATATGCGCAATAATTCTGTGAAGTCGGCTGTGCATTCGGTGAGTAAAAAAAACAACAACCTTTTCTAATTTCTTTTCTTTTCATATACGTCGGCGTTTCCCTTTGAAAAGGGCCGATGTTTTTTTAAATGCAGGCAGCTGTGTAGGATAGATGCATTTGTTGAGAAAGAGACGAATGATTCTTCAATTACATCGAGCTTTGTGCGCGGATAGAGAGTGGGTGTTGGCATTCTGCACAATCCGATTCAGTCCTACACACTCAAAGGCTTGGACTGAAATTGTGCCCCAATAACTCCCAGTGCCAGCGGGCTGCTCAGAGCACACAAACCGCCTCATGTTCACTACTTTTCCAAATGAAATTGTAAAAAAAATAATCATTTTTTTCGAAGTAAATTTGTTTTCATATACAAGTAAATGAAGGGACAAAAGAAACACATAAGGACCAGTTGTTCTTCGAATTTCCTGCTAACCATATGTCACGGGAGGCAGCGTAACGCAGAAACCTTGTTCCTCACATGCATTGAACAGCATTTCAGAGAATTCAATAAAGAAGAGATTGTAAGTATATTTCTTACATTGTATTGTAAGATATCGTACAAGATATTGGAAATAAATCAGATACAAAAGCGTCATTTATATTTTTGCATTGTGTTTACTCAACTTCTACTCTCTCTGTTTAAACCCATTTGAAAAAGGTCCACACATTGATGTCGGGTAGCGAGGTAGGTGTTATTGTTCGGTGGGCAAACGTATAAAGACAATGGTATGATGTACATTATAAAACAGCTTGCTGAGCCTTTTATTTTCTATTGTCAAAAGTGAGAAGCTTATATTCAAAATACATTGCATTGATAATGTCTTGCGAGTGACATGCTTTAAAGCCAACATAACCTATAGAAAAAATTACGATAATATTTTTATATACTTTTAACAGACAGAAATTACTTTCGGCAAAATGGCGTCCGGTCAGGAGCGCGAGTAGTTACAGTTTTCAGAATAATCCCTAACAGTTCCGAGTGCACACAGGCAGGATTAAACATTGCAAACGCTCCCAAAAATACTATCCAAATATATCCTAAGTCTACATGTAGTATTTAAAATCACGATTGAATGATTATGATTATTATATTTAATACCTATAATAATTCTCCAGTTCGCATTAATTGTCAAATAAATGAACATTATTATTATTATTATTATTATTATTATTATTGTTGTTGTTGTTAATATTATTATTATTTTTTATTATTATTACTGTGGCAGTAACACAAGAACTGCACACCTAAACACTACCACGAAATAATAGAAATAACACTAATCCCAATAAATCTATTGATTATTTAAATCGAAAATGAGTAATTTGCTGAAAATAAGCTTTTTGAAGATTTTTTAATATATAATTCCCGAAAGGATTTCTTTATCGGATATTTTTTATATATATATATCAAACGCTTCGACTGGATTTATTCCACATGCTGCTGTGTACTAATTTTAGAGGACTGTTTTTAAATTGTTGTTAATGTTATCGCAAAAGGAATCGTGTGTAACGAATTACAACCACAAAGAAACAACTCAATATGTTAACCTATTATTTCTAGGTATTAAATAAATTCTGATTTATGGTCGTTTCAGGTCTGGCCGTTTACAGCGAATTTACTTAATACTTTGACGGTCTTTTTGGAAACATCTTGAACGGTAGAAGAACATGTGTTTTTGTTTTTGTGTAAAATTATTTGCAGAGGAGCCACGGGAGCTGTAAACATTTCAGCGCCAGATCGGCCTTCGCAGAGACAGAAGAGAGGGAGCTGAAGGCGACACCGAACCGCGTGTTCTAGAACAGCACAGATCATGCAAAATATATTCGGCAGCCCTTCACTCTGTACCTACATGGCTATGTTTTGTAGATGCATAATATAAAAGTATAATTATAATATATTTGCAGTACGTTGGTATACCTTACAGGACTTAACAGATACATGATCTTACTCGGCGTTAAAAATGCTTATCTTTATTATTGACTATTTGCATCACAGCGATGTAGATATACAACATACTTCTGCTTGTGGAAGGCGGGCTCTGTGTTGCACCTAAAAATTGGTCTTAAAAATAAAACCTGTTTTCCTAATCGGCGCCTTGGGTTTCTGACATTGGAATCATTTCGCAGCCTAAACGCGTACTGCATTCGAGCGATTACTATTATTATAATCATAGCTGTTGTTATTGTTGTTATTATTATTATTATTATTGTAAAATGAACTGCATGGTGAATATTAATAAAGATACATTAAATATTTTAGATGTTTATTTATTTCTCAGAACCGGAGCAGCATGGAATGCACGCCAATAAAACAGAAAAGTACTTTCCATATCAAGCAATTAACAAGTACAAACTGTATCTAAATCAATGGTTGGTTTTCGGATCTTATTGTCTTATTGCATGATACATTTTTGTCATCATTAAAAATCAATCTGCGAGGAACTGACTTGGGCGATTGTGTCAAATATTGATCACGTGTTTTTAACTAGGCCAGAAAGAACAAAAAAAAACTATTATTTGTACCATGATTATTCTATAAATATTAGCAAGGGGATAAATAATACTTCAGACAATTAGAATACTATATTTTGCAAGAACAAATAAATAATGTCCATCAGAATACAAACAGCGGAGGCCCGGAGCTCTTGATGAGAAACCTCTTTTCAAGCGCTTTTGGTTCTTATGGCCCCGAGAAGTGCAACAGAATACAAACACAATTCTTCAACTGGGATAAATAAAAGAGAACAAATTCACACAGATGCAACTTAGGGAATTTGTTCGTATACCCTGTTTTGATTAAAAAAAATGGAAAGTAAAGAGCGGGAAATTAAAGACGATGTCTGGGGACCACGCGCGCCCCCACACAAAGTTCATGAAAGCCGATAACACTAACGAAGCTCTAGAGAAATCCAAGCAACAGGTATTGCTACTACATCACAATTGAAAGTATAAATGTGGGTCGGCTACTGAAGAAAAGGCAGGGATGGGGTCGGAGGTAACACAATGACAAAGAGGTCAGAGGATATTCCGCCACAGCTAACTGGTCCGTTAGAGATGCGTCAGTTTGGGCGCTTCCTGAATTCTTCCCTGAGACGGGTGATGAGGAGTGAGATCTGTGTATGTAGGATGTGAGTCGCACGGTCCATGGTGATGGTTGCTGGCCATAGTGCTACCGCCATTGTAGTCCATGCTGCCTGACGCAGGGTGAGGGAGATGCGTTAAGCCAAAAATGGAGGGCCCGGAATTCGTCATGGGATCAATGTAGCTGCCTCCAACATACACTGGGCTCCCCTGCAGATGAGAAGTCCCGTAGCTGCCGTTGCCTTGAAGGGGGTGCGCATCATATTCAGGCGTAACCGCGGCAGTCCCAGCGTATCTCTTTTGGGGGGGCGGGCAGCTACTCAGAGTGCTGTTTAGAGGCGCCGGATATGACGTCGACAGACTATATGAATTTTGATGAGGTTTATTGTAAGCCGTGGGCGACTGGGGTTCATATGGTACACTGTTTACTAGCGAGTGCATAGAATTAAGGTATCCCCCTACCGACGAAGGGGGGACAGGACTTCGTGGAGACTGGCCTCCCGGGGAGGGCATCATTCCCTTTCCCTTCTGATCCTTTTTGTACTTCATCCTGCGGTTCTGAAACCAGATTTTAATCTGCCTTTCCGTGAGGTTCAGCAAATTGGCCATTTCCACCCTCCGCGGTCGGCAGAGGTAGCGGTTGAAGTGAAACTCCTTCTCCAGCTCCACAAGCTGCGCGCTGGTGTAGGCGGTCCGGGCGCGCTTGGACGCTGCCGACCCCGGCGGGCTCTTATCTTCGGGACAGCTCTCCACTGCGCGGAAGAGGGGAGGACAAGAGGACAAGATCAGTATCACCAAGGGGCAGATGGAGCACAGTGATGCGGCGGTGCGCGTCCGCCAGCACGGAGTACAGCGGCAAACCGGGAGCGCGACTGAGAACTACACAGAGTCAAAGACACAATCACAGTCAAAACACCGGGAACATCAACAATGCTTTTCCGTGTTTACCACAAAGCATATCTTGTATTCTATTAAATAACCCACAAAAAGTATACACCTTAATCTTTGATTTGGTTCTAAGGCACTATATGGTCCAGGGAAAGGATCTCTGTATTTCTTTCCGCTAGTAAGAAAACATACTATAACATTAAATCGTTTAAGCCATTTGTAAATGAGGGTTTCATTTTAAAAAATACGCCCGTCCTCATTTTTATTTATGCCAATGTGCCTCCTGTGGCATCAGTTCTTATTTGTACACCACGGAGACATTTAGAAAGCACTAAATAGGTTTCACTGCTCCTGCGCCGTTTTCTTACCGCACTGCTCGAAGTTTAGTGATTTTCCATTTTACTGTTATTGGATATTCACGTTCATGGTGGCTCCAAAAATGTCTCTATTTGTCTTGTCGCTCCAGCACTTATTCTCCCCCACTTTGATAACGTTCATAGCTGCCTGGGTACTTTCAAGTCTTCTTCACCTATTATACAGACCTGTCTACACAGATATTTTTAGGATTTTCATTAGCCGTAGTTTTTTACAGAAATTATATTCTGAATATCACCTTCTTGTGTTATTCGATTATTAGTTTGTTTGAATTTTTTTTTCCATAGAAATTTATTGATGTACATTCGTTAAGATCGTGGACTTCAATATCGTTAAGTGTAAGCATTATTCACTGGTTGAAGGTTCGCCAGTGTTACACGATAAGGAGGGAGTTGTTTGACCCTCACTCATGGCATAAGAAAATAATTATTTTTCTTAAAAGAAGTAAACATTATCTTTGCAAAGCAGTTCAATGTTAAGGTTTGTGGGGGATTTTGTTTTAACGGAAGGTATAATATCGAGATATTGTGAGATACCTGACAACGTTTTAAACCCCAAGGATACCACTGATTTGCTTTCATGAAGGCTGGCCATCTGAAGTAAACCACAGAGAACAGTATGTACACACACAGACAGAAGAGAAACCTCTACATTGTAAGGCATGTTGAGTACTGATGCTTATAAATCATGTTATCAGCTGTTTAAGAAAAATGTAATTTGGATATGTGCCAGTGTTCCAAAAAAGACTAATCCGGGTGTCTCTTTTTACCTTAGTTCTTTGTTATTATTATTATCCGTATTAATAATAATAATAATAATAATAATCATCATCATCATCATCATCACTGAAAGTATAAATGCAGGATACAACAGTATGACTTAATGAAGTAAGTGCTCTTCATGTGTAATGTGAAGAGCTTTACATAAAAGTATTCAAAGGTTAGAAATATGTCAGTGAAAGGTCTGGGCCATATTAAATGAAAAACAGCTCTGTGCAAAGCCTCCTTAGCCCTGAATAGATAATTCTATGTAGTCTTTTAAAATGGTGCAGATATAGAGGAGGGTTTATGAATCTCCCCTGGGCACTGTTGCAATTCCTGCAAAGGCTTCATTGTATACCTCGCCACACAGGTCATTACTGCTCACTGAGTGCCATAGCCCAGGCACGTGCTTCATCAACAGGCCAGCCAGCACAGGCGGCCGGGGCTCAGAAGGACACAGTGGGCAACAACACAGAATATTTCATCTGCAATCTCTACGTCTTATGCTTGTTTCTTCTACAGAAAACATGCTCCAGGTAAAAACGGGGAATAAACTACATGATGCCCAGCTCTGTCAGTTTTATATTTCCGTAGGAACTGGTGTTAAGGAATGTGCTCACAGAGAAGGGTCACTGCCAGCTACTGCACCACTTGTGCCAATCGGACAGCTGAAGGCTGACAGTCCCCTCTGCTCTAGCTGATTCCACTTCCTAGTGGACTGGAAGCCCCCCGAAGGCAGCTGCACACATGGGCGATCCTTCCGGGGTCCTGTGAGGGACCCTGCTCTGACAGGAGCCGTACCTGAGCTGGCGTTGCTGCTGTTTTTCTGCTTGGAGGTCTGGCGCGACTCCTTCATCCAGGGGAAGATCTGCTTGCTGCCGGCGGCCGGCGGGGAGGGGTGTGCTGGGTTCTTGCCGGCGCTGGGCGGGCCGGAGCCCGATCCGGAGCTGCTGCTGGGGTTCTGGGGCGGGGATGGCGGCGGTGGAGGGGCCGGGGCTGGCGTGGGGGCAGCGGCCTGCGCCTGGGGAGGCGGCTGTGGGTGGCTGTCGGGAAGACCAGGGGTCTGGCTGGCCTGGGCGGCGCTGCTCCGCATGCAGCTTTTCCCAATCTCAGGGGGCTTCTGGAGGGGGACGGAGGAGCTCGGAGACTGCAGGGAGCAAGCGGGTCGATGGTAGTCACTTTCCACATGAGAGGAGGGGGGATATTGCTGCTGATTGGCATTATAACCGAAACCATTTGCTCCTTGATATGGGTAGCCACTGTATATTGCAGAGCTGTCGTAGTAGGTCGCCTTTTGCATCTCGTTGTTTCCCAATATTTATTTCAGAAACTGACAGGGTCTTGACACCCTTGTAGAATAACATTGGCCCCCGCGGTCACGTGACTCCTCTCTGCCAATGGCCTCTCTGGGTAGACCTAGGGGGACAAGAAGCACGTGTGATGAAGGAATGGGGCAGATCCATCTTACTTTCAATAGCTGCCTGACATGAGAAGCTATAAAGGGAAATATGGGCAGCGTTTCACCAGCTATCACACTCACCTAAAGCCAAAGACACTGCACAACTATAATGAGATGCATTTAATCTACAATCATTACACCCAGATTTCTATACTGTAACAGTGATACCATGGAAAAAAAATATTAAGACAAAAACAATCTGCTGGTCTTGCAAATATATACATCCCTGTGCCTATCTCGCCCTCACTCACCGATACAAGTAGACTTTGCAATTGTAAACTGTAAGCTCGAGAAGGTGTTTGAGATTAAATATTGTAGATAATAAGTAACATCAAAATCAGGGTCATGTCATTTCACGGGTCCCTGTGATTCTCAATCTCACATTGATTCACAAAACCTCTTCTGTTACTATTGCCACCACTAATAATAATAATAATAATAATAATAATAATAATAATAATAATAATA